AGGCATTTCGTCTGCTCGGCATCCATCGCAGAATTGATTGTGCAAAGCCATTAAGCCGAGATCAGATTCTCTCATTGTCCAGCATGTTTAAAGAACGGCAGAAACAAGCTCCTGTTAAATACTTACAGGACCATTCACCAGTGATTGGAGTTTGCTGATGTTATGTCAGTATGTGAAGTAATCTGCCGTCGACCGACGGAGGTGGAACATGGCTGAGAGTTTAAGAGCGGGACTGGGTATCCTCATGAATGTTGTTGTACTGGTGCTGAAATCATTATTTTTGTATCAATTCTAATACGATGCAATTTCCATAAATGTCTCCCTTGATTTATACATTTGTCTGGAGTGAACAAAGTCCTTATTTAAATCAGGACATATATAATTTATAATTTAGTTTGGCCCTTTATCATTTGCTGGCTATCTGTACACATCTTGCCGTAGTTATTGAGATGTTAAAGTCTGGATCAAAGCGTGGATAGACAGACTCCCATTGGCAGCTACTGGGGCTAAAAAACAGAGGAGATGAAACATTCAAAGAGAAAGTCGTCAGAATTGGAGCTTCACAAATTCCAAACTGCAACTTCAGCCGCATAGCTAAACGGCTCACTGAGATATGAAATATTAGCAGAGTGGCTTCATGTCAGGAGAGATGTTGATCAATTGTGTACTTAATAAAAAAATAAAACAATGTCGGCATGGTTTAAGGTCGTTTGTGTCTAACCGTGATGCATTTGTTCCAGCTTGAGAAGGATTTTTTGAAACGTTGCCCAATTCTCCACTCAGTCGTTGTGAACACATGATTGTAATGGCCATTTCTGTATTTTAGAAGAAAAAAAACTAACTCGTTTACTGCTGCAAGGTTGACGTCCTCGGAGGGTTATCCATCTAATGAAAGGCTCTCGGCGCAAATGAATGTAGATATGTCTGTCTGCAGCTTACATGTCTGTTCTCTCCCTCTCTGGAACCACTCTGCATCAAACCCGTGATTTATGAAAACGCTTTAAAGAACAAGCTTTATTCAACGCATAACCATTCTGCAAAAACTGTAATGAAGCCTCAGATTTGGAGTTTATGTCCAATCAGATACAACTGGAGTGAGATGATAACAGATTGTGCGGGGGGGATGATAACGAGAGCATATGGCCGATGTACCGGGGAGAATACAGTTAAAGAGTCTGGGCCGGGCTGTTCAGAACATTTGCTCTCAGCACATCGCTCTTATTGTCCTCATCAGTCTGATTTACTTTGAACAAGTTGATTGCGGCAGCGTTATGCATAATGTAGGAATCTCACAAGGAGGTACGAGGGAAGAATCTGTAAGATAGTTGCCTCTTTCACTTCGGCTGAGCCGGTGCATGATTCAGCTGTTATCTTTCAACTGCATGCCAGTAAGCTGTCCCAACTTTGCAAAGATGCTGAGCAGGCTTCCTCCGTCTCTGGTTTTCTACCGATCGTGGTGGAAAGCTTTGTCGGTGTCGCTCTTTGTGGCGGTCGGTCTGAAGCTCCACTCACCAGTTGGCCGGTCCTTCATCAACAGAGGAGTGTCGAAGCCGGACATGACGCGTACATCTCACCCTCTGTTTTCTCTGCCGTATCCCTGTCAGTGTTTATGTGGTGGTGTTTGGGTATGTGGCGTGGATTTCAGACTGTGCGCCCGCTCCATAAAACGAGCCGTGTAAATGTGCGAGGCGCTGGCTCCGTGCCTGCCGCTGCCCCGTCAGCCCAGACATCTTCACCAAACGTCACACTGAAAGCTCCACTCTGCACATTGTGGTGGGAGTGACGGCCGCGAACACAACACGACAGATGGGGAGTGCATTATATGCATTTCACATCCCCCTTCTCTCTCCCCCCCCCCCCCCTTTTTCCTTGTCTTAAATAGAAATTGGCATCAGCTCGGTCATATGTGGAGCACTTGAGCGAGAACCAAAATAGTTGGTACAAATGTCCAAGAGCACGGCTTGTGGCCGAGTAACTTTTAATTCTCTGGCTCAGGTATGCTGCAGGTTTGTCTGGCAAACTAAATCAGCTTTTCCTGAGCTCATTTTCTCTCCGTCCCCGGCATCCCGCGGACTTTTCTTTGTCCGCGGTTCTCGTCTTTTGACTCTTTGACAGCCCGAGAGTAGCTGGATTGTGAGAGAAGAATGTCCCTTTGTTTTGCCCACTTGCTGTCACTGTGGATTTGATTGTCTCAGTAAGCAACATGGCCTCAGACACACACACACACACACACACACAATCACCCCTGTGGATGGACATTCCTTTTGGCAAGGCTCCCAGATGGCACTGCAGGTTCTCTGTGGGCTGCAGCCATCTGATGGAGTAATTGACTCTGTTACTGAAAGGCTGAGCAACATGACGACAGAGCGTGAAGGTTGGAGGCACGTTGCACGCATTTCTTTCCTGCTGAGGCTTCAAACTGCTTTGGAAAAAAAAGTTTTCATTACAAGCTGAAGTTTGTAGAAGCTTTGCAAAAACAAGTTGAACTGTGCAGTTAATGTTCACTAGAGCGGGAGCTACATTTTGGAGGATTTCATCTAGTGCTGAAATGAGCAGTCCATCAATAACAGAGGAGCAATCCTTTGATTTCCAGCTTTTTGCAGTGAGGTAAAAGGTATTACAACTAATACATAACATTATGTGTTATCACACTTCTGACTCCATTTTAGGGAATCCTTTAATGTAATGTCAGGCTTTGACACTTCTCAGTAGTAACTGAAGAGGAAGTCTCTGTGAAGATGTCCTTGTACTGTGGACTGAAGGCACACAGACCTTCACCCCAGCCATCCCTGCCTGGATGTGCTGAAGCATAATGAGCTATGGGTGAAACGGAAGATACTTAAAAGGGAATGTCTTTGGAGCCACAGGCTTAGTGACAGACTGTTGAGCATCCAGGGGAGGTCTCATTAAAACGGTATTTTAGTGTTTTATGACAAAGCTTACAACCAATGTCAGTGCAATATGAGAAGAGTAGTGAAGAGTCCCGTCATCTGGAAGGTGACCGATGTTTATGTGCGGCTACCCGTGGAAAACCTGGGATGCCCTGAAGCCGTCCCTCTAATCAAGTTTTGATTAATTGATTTTCTCAGCCCCCCCTTTTTTAATGTTAAATGAACCTAGAGCCAGATTAAAATGTCTCTAATATGAATTCCTCAGATCCTTTCATCACAGCCAGTTGAGCTGAGATTCATTTTATGAGTCTTGGGACATTTTTAACAAACCGACGTCTTACGGTTTGCTTCAAAACTGTTGGTGGCCGTCACAGCGCAACAGAGGTCTTGCCAGAACAAACATAACTCTAGAGAACAAAACGTGCATGTGTTGGCCATCCAGCTCCAGCGAGCGTTTAGGTGTGAAGTTAAACGTTAGCACTGGAGCAAGTAGATTCCACGTCTGGCTTGCAGCTCGGCGTTGATAAAAGGTTAATGTAGCGTTTAAACTGTGCTCAGCCGAGTATTGATGCCATGCTTGGTGGAGAATGCTTTACATCATGTTCGTTTTATCGCCGGATGCCACAGGGCTGCTTTTTAATGGATGTTCACATTCAAACATTAATGTTCATGTTGCAGGGAGATGTGGCGAGCTTTGACTCGGACGAAATCTCCCATTGTTAAGTTGTCCCGGAAGTTGCTGAACACATTTCTCGCCACGTCTTTGATATAATCTCTGAACATTTAGCTCTCGGCAGAGTTCTTTGTCAAACAAAAAAGCCCACTGAATTATAAATGACTCTCTGCTCTGGATGTTTTTTACAAACTCAAATCACTGGCAGTGGGCCTGTTAATGGATGCAATCTGTGGTTGGATGGAGACACTCTCTACCAATTGAGACTGATGAACTGAGGATGGTACGCCTCCTGCAGTGGCAGTGTTACTCCTCAGATAGCAACTGATCCACAGTAATATAGCATCTCTCAGATTAAGTATTGAATCTACGTTGCTGCCCAAACTTGAAATGAAATTGAAAGCGCTCACTAACGCCAGACTTTCAATCAGGACTAAGCGCAGACTCACCCGTAATCTGAATGGGATTGAGTTTTAGTTCATTTTGATACATTGAAACAATGTTGCATGAATGAATTACAACAAACCAGACCTTTACATAATGTTTTCTTTATTAATACATTTGTACAACATATTGTTCTCAACATGTAAATAAAGTGCAAGAAAACATTTACGTCCATTTGAAAACACACTTCCATAAAGTAAACGTTATGTGTACAAATACAATGATGAATGTGACTTGGAATACTATTATAATAAAAAATAGTGATATTATAATAATATAAAAACGATATAAATAATAACATAAAAGCATGTTTTGCTAATTAAACAGAAAGAATATAAAAAAATAAATGATTTGAAGTTCTTCATTTCCTCCTCATGTCCTCTTTGTCTCTCTTTAATATGAATTATATGTTCACGTTGTAGAGCTTGTGGACAAAAAACAACTTAAAGTCAAATACAATCACATTCAAAAATACAAAGACAATCATATAGCACAGAGCTCATTTTAACAACTTTCCCTCAAGCTCATTTTGTGCAGCTTGTAGGGGAGCATTAGGTGTGAAAACACAATTTCAACAGCATAGTTGGCATTTACTGCAATAATTTGCAGTTTAAAATTAAATTTTTAGTTTAAAAACAAGTTTGCTGCTTTTTAGGCTTTATCACACCTTAAAATACTATGTAACTTAAGCAGAAGCCTTGCATTTGTTGGCTTGACATGCTAATTAAGACTAGATTCTTGCCAATACTTAGCACTGATATTAATGGCAAACAGTAGCCTAATGCTAGTTAGCATCGTAAGCAGGAAATCCAACGGCTTTACAGTAGTTTACTACCGCAACGTTTACAAGAAAATGCTTATCCGACAAGTTTGTTTAGAAATTATAACATACTTTGACTGCAGATTATAGTCAGCCTTCAGACAAGTACCGTCTCTCAGTAATGTTTAACAAAAACATGATAGATTTCTTTCTCTTCTCCTTCTGTCCTCAGATGCGTCCTCTTGCCTCTGCTGAGTGTTAAGCCTCCTCAGCAGTCTCTCTTCCTGCTGGTGGACTCCATCGACGAAGGCTGTCAGCCGGGCGAGGGGGAGCAGAGGTCCTCCGTCGGCTCCCCCAGGACCATCGCCGAGCTCCTGGCCAGTCACCACGAGTTCCTGCCTCCCTGGCTGCTGCTCATCTGCTCTGCCCGACGGCAGAATAAGGCCATCACTAAGCTCTTCACAGGTAAACAGTCCGGCTTCTCTCTTTCATTAACTACACTGTTGGTCAATAAAGGTCACACTCCTCTAAGTGATATCCACATAATTGATGTCATGTTGCATCAATATATCACTGTCACAATAATTGTGATACCGTTACTCACAAGTCAGTGGAGCAGTTTGATGGATGAGACAATATCTGCACATGTCGGGACAGCTCTATGTTTGTTTCTGCTCAGTGGCAGTGTTGCTGTGATTCATTTCACCTGAGAATGCGGTTACATACGGAGCCGGCGGCGTCGTTCCTTTTTCTGTCCCGGACGTTTTAACAGCACCGATGCAAAAAGCTTTTTACCATCGCGACATGCCTAAAGAGATTAGGGTCACCGCTGCAGACCATTGTGAGGGTTGCAGCGCTTCCTTCACGTCCTATGACACCACACCAAACCAGCTGCTATTATCTGCCTGTCAGGCCAGCAGCCTCCACGTTGGTGATGAGCTGGCATAACATTAATCAAGAACCGGAGTGTGTGGGAGGAAGTCTCCTCCGCAGACTCGCGCTGCTGTGTGTGTGTGCGTGTGTGTGTGTGTGTGTGTGTGTGTGTTACCTTTTCAAAATCCACTGAATCTGGGAGCTCCTGGTGCCCTCGGCTCGCATCTTAAAAACCGTTACGTAATAAATCCCATCAGTCTGAGCGGTCGTTTCTGTGCTCCTCCCCACTCGGGAGATGCATGAAGTCAGGTTCAAGGCTGAAAGAGCTACATGTTGTTCTTCCTTCTTTTACAGCTTTAATGGTGTCATAACATGTCACAGTAATAGTATTAATGTTCCCTTAATATCCTGGACTGTAATTTGTCATTTGCACACGAGGTAAAGAGAGACTTGAGCTTCTTCTTGTTGGCTTTGCTCGTGTTGTGTGTGCTGTATACAGCAGCCAATGAGGAACTGGTATGATCTAGTTTTATATTTGTCTCATGTTAGGAAGTGTATTGAAATGTCCACAAATCAGACATTCAAAGGGCATCATCTTAAAACGTTACCTGCTGATATTCAGCCCCATCTGACAGGGTTGACCAGCATTTAGCCTTTAGTGGGTGGAGAATTGAACACCTGGTGTATGTTCAGAAACATGCTGCGGGTATGGTGTGTGGGCATGTTCCAGACCAGCTGCCTTTTAACAAGAGCTAGTTTAAAGGAAAACAATGCAGATAATGTGCATACTAGAGTACCAGTTTACTGTCACTGCATTTTTAAATGAGCAGGTGGTTCTCTATGGCTGTCTGTAGGGCTATTATCACAGAATAAGTTCATATTATTAACAGCTGAAACGATTGATGGGGACGCACCGATCCATCGTCTTCAGTCCTGATATCTGGGCTTTGGGTATCGGCCCACACCGACTGCTGATCCGAGACCAGTGTTTAATCAATAAGCTGTTTGCCTCACTGTGTGGCAGTGGATGGGATCAGTCTTTCATATGTAAGGGAACTGACTACAACAAAATGTAACAACTTCTTATTTATTAAAATGATAAATTGTACCAGTAAAAATCTCCCAAAATGAACAGGAATTATTACAATTTTTAAAGCAGCAACAAATGGTTCAGAACTTAAACAGGAATTAGATTCCAGGATAGTGTATCGTATGTCCATATAGAAGCTAAATGAATGGATCGGCCCCTTTGTCACCAATACTCATTCCTGCCATTTGAGTCAGTGTCACCCCAATATCCAATGTTGGTATCAAAGCAATGAATCAAGAAACTAATTGCCATATTAATTACGGACGTACATCCCTTATACATATATAAATACATAAACCAAGAGAGCATGCAAAAATATTGATTCTAAGTTGGGTGTTATATCCTTAAACATATCTACTTTTGTATATTCTTAGACGATCACATTGTTATGGTTTGCAATGCTGTGAATTGCCATTTTTTCATTTTAACCATAGAATAAATGTAATCGGATTAAACACACAAATAGAGTGACTGCAGCTCTGAGGAGTCGGTTCAAACTGCGTTGGTCCAGTTAAGTCCAGACTGGAATCCTCCTTCAACATGGCTGTCTTTTGTGTTTTCATTGTGTCCGATTTCATGATGTAGTTCAGTGTGTTTTCATTATCAGAGCACCTGTCTCTCATTGGAATGATTGGCATGTGTTCACAACTTCACTGAAAGTAGGTCGTCAATGACCGGCTGCAGTGTTTGGGACTAAGTGAAATCTGCAGTGTGGGCGTCCGACGGGTGGAAGCGTAGTTTAGATCTGATCAGTGTTGACAGTCGGGTTTTAGGACACCAGAACTCTCTTTCAGTCTTCTGTGGGTGTCGTGCATCTAATTCCACAAACCAGCTGTGATGCAAGCTGCCCACTTTATAATCGCAGAGACGTGCCCACCCACGCTCTCCTCCAACATCAAAGTGTGTTCGTAGGTGCCTGTGCTAGATTAGATTGTGGATTGGTATCGGAGTGTAGCGTAAAGTATCCTCACAGCATTTCCAAAAAACTTTGAGCCCACAGACAATACAGACGGAGACGAAGTTTTATATTTGATTTCCTTTCAGCAGCAATTTGCATTAAATCGTATTTTCTGCTTTAGTGTGTGTGTGTGTGTGTGTATGTGTGTGCTGTCTGCCGTGTCTCGCCCCAACCGTAGAATTACATCGGCTGATTCTATTTGCATTTGCACATAAAGTTGACAGTGGAGCCACCAGGGGAATGTGTGTGTGTGTATGTATATGTATGTATGTATGTGTGTATATATATATATATATATATATATATATATACACACACACACCTGAGTATCTCAGGGAGTTCTGTGATTGCCTGTTTGCCTTTTCTCTCCAGATGTTGCTCGCTGATGAGCTGTCTGATACGGTTTGAAGGGAATTTCATCTTGGAACAATCTGATAAACAGCAGTTATCTCTTTTCTTTTCCTTCTTTCTTTCTCTTTGGACTGGCTCTCATCCCCCCTTTTCACTCCCTCTTTGAATGGCGGCCCAGCTGTGGTCGGGCTTCTCATTCCAATCGCCCAGCAGTTTGATTTAAAAGACGAGTCTCTGTTTGAACAGAGGAACAGAACCAAAGTCACACATTTAACAGGGAGTGGAGGACATATGTGATGTTGCTGTTCTGCATGCGTTCCACTGGGTTTGTGCTTTAAGATGCTCCTACAGACCTCCAACGAGTCTCGGCCTCTGTCCTTGGCTGAGGCTTTTAGCGGCCTCTTTGTTTTGTCTAGCTTCAGTCTTCCGCCTTTAGTTCAACTCTGGCGATTCTTCTGCGAGACTTGCTTCTTTTTTTTTCCTTCCTCCCTCACACATAGACGGATGTAGACATGCAGGAAAAACACGTTCACCCACTTACCGCGTCCTCCATTAGCTTGGGCGCCTTATTATGAATACAGCAGTGCGAATACTCCTTATTCTGGCAGCACTAGTCCTAAAATAGACCAAAGGGCTGTAGAGTATCAAATTGAAGCCAACTGTCCCCCTAAAAATACCCTCCGTATTGTTGACGAGTCAGAGATGGCAGTGACCTGCCAAAAGACTCCACTTTCACGCTCCGTGCAGAGCCAACTCCTATTTTATATGAGCGGCCTGTTTGGTGTGGGTTTCCCAGTATGCTCTGGTCTGCGGTGATGGGAGCGCTGTGGTTGTGTGTATGTAGTGTTGATGGAGCTTGAGGAATGACCTTTAACCAGAGGGGTCGCTTTGCAGAGAGATTGCTGGACCAGAAGTCTGCTCTGATGGTTTTTAGTATTTCTGAAAGAATTTGGGATCCTTCTGAAGACTGGAACTGAAGAGATTTTAGCTGGCTTTGATTTTAGTTTAATTCACTTGAGTCTGACACACACTATCTTCTCTTTCTTCTTTCTTAAAGAGATGCCGTTTCCCCCCATGAGCAATGCTCTGAATTCCTCTTTCCTTGCTCAACTGTTATTCCTCGTGTCTGTCTCAGAGTGGAATGTGCTTTGGGAAGTTTTTAACACCTCCGAGACCGAGCAGGAAGAAGGAGTCATTTCTGACTTCAGCAGCAGAAAGCCGCGCTCGCATCCGCTCGGCTAAAGCCCCACAAACAAAGAGCGTTCTGTTTGTGAGGAGGAGTACAGGAATATGGAGGATCCTGCCGGCTGACTCGCAGTTTTGATTACGCCTCGGTCTTCATGTGGTATCTTTTGAAATGGACAAAAAAAAAAATGCCGACTTGAGATGTGAAGGAACACCGCGGCGAACTAACATCGGAGTGGATCTGTAGCTGTGCTACTTCTTTACGCCCCGAGTGACGGCAGACTTATGGAGAGGAGCTTGCCTTTGCTGTGCTGTGCTACTGTAAGGCCACAGCAGGGGTAGCGGAGTGGAAACACTTAGGCAGCGATTTTGGTTTGGAGCCGGGGTAGAATCTGTGCCAATTTAACAAGGCCTCCGGCAGAAGGGAGAGCAAGGGGAAGGGGAAAGAGAGGGCCGGGTGGAGGTGGGAGACGGGCGGGGGGGGTGTGGGTGTGTGTGGGGGTTTAAATAGAAGCAGCCTCTCAGGCGTGTATTTTTTTTTTCACAGCTTCTACCTCAAAAATGTCCTCACACGACTGATAAAGGTGATGATATTTCAGAAATGTACAGAACGTATGTCAGAAATGCTCCTATAACTTTTTCAAATTCTAGATTAGCCTCATTCAGTACATTATGAAGCAGGCTCCCAACAGAACCAAATCCCTTTGCTTCTAGTCCCACTAAAATACACAGTCGTCAATCGTGATCCCCTCAGCATTTGCTCCATCCTAGTGTGTGATCCTTTTATGGTGTGGAGGCATCACTGGACTGTAATGGCTACCATCTGCCCAATATTGTTTATGGTGCGTGCTTGTCAAAGTCACTGTTTCTCAAGTAGTTAAGCGTGTGTAGGTGCTGTCCTGGTGGTAGCAGGCAGTACTGCAGTAACAACATGAGAGTATATCAAAGAGTCAGCATATACTCATGAATACTTCTTTGATTAGAGAGAAGATGGACTTTGGTTGGTGC